TTGGTACATTTGGCGCATTGAAATTGCTCCGCCCCATTTTATTTCAGAAACTCAATGCTGGCAATTTTGTTAGGTCGACCAAAGCGAATCTTTTAATCCATTTTCCATTAATCTTGACATAATATTGCAACTGGTGCAGTATAAATCGCTATGTGTCACATAGGCACTTGGCAAGCAAGACCATAAGTTCTCTGCAACTCATGAAATAAGCGTATAGGTAAGTCGACCGGTATGATCACGTTTTCACTTGTTTTTTTTTTTTTTTTTCTTTAATTACTATTAACTTTTATGACAAATACTAAGTTGATGGAAGTGCTTCAAATTTTATCTTATCGTCGTTGAAAGCAACAACAATAACATAGAAAATAAACACGAAATTTATACACAAATTGCTTAGCTATTACTATGTGACCGTGTAATAATTCATTTCAACTTGAAAAATCAAATATTCACACATAAATTTCTTCTATTCTACCTGCTTTTAATTTGTTTTACGTTGTCGTACTTAACGCGAAACTTAACGCTCGCTATGCGCAGGAAATAGTTTTGCGATACAATTGTTTCTCTTTTGTCTTTTTTATACTTCGTTACGTCAACATCATAAGAACATCATACATTTACCTTATAGGGAATATTAGATACCTACCTACCAATATATATACATGTGCATATATATAATAAGCAATAATAATTTCCGAGGGGGTCGGCAGGTGATGCAATTCATACCTCAATCATATCATATCTTGTTTTTGCAGATAGCGTTAGCGTTGTAGCTTTGTGGGTTGTAAATTGTTAATGAATGTATTTTGAGTTTTTCAATTTTATAATTGCAGTGAATAAGCACAGCCAGTCAAAGATAACGACACTTGGAGTTGACCCATTTCATCATTTGCATCGTTAAATGCATTCTGCCTTACTCATTACTCACAGTCAAGTTGACAATATTTACTGGTTTTTACCAACGACTCAAATTCGAGTCATTAAGCCCTGCAGGCTGGAAAAATTGCACATATATCGCAAAACTCTATTTATGGAGCCGATGGCCGATTTCTTAAGTCTTATTGAAATTTTGAGTATTTCTTACGGAATTAACAGATGATTGAATGAAGATTGACTTTGGTCGATCACAACTTATTGTCCAAGACATTATATGAAATGCGTTTTATCGAGCATTATATTAATACTTTTTGGCCTACAACTCTGTCAAGAGTTCATATTGCAATTTTCATTTCAAAACCTTCGTTCAGCAACAAACTACCAATAGAAAATATGTTCGTCTCTTCGAATTCAGAGAAAGCTATCACGAGCTATCCTATCAACTTGAAAGATACTTGTATCTAAGAAAATCACCCTTTAACGGCTGAATTTTCAAAACTTTTGAATGAACATTTTTTTAAAATAAATATTGCGTAAATGATACTCTCCTATATAATTTCGAGAAAGTAAGAGAATCCAGTTTTTGTGATCTTTCTTTCATGTTCTTCAGTGGCCGGTTTTGATGGCGTCAAAAATTTTACGCACAAATTTACAATAATTGCTGGTAGATTCGGATTAAATATTTTAACAGTTCAAACATATAGATGAGTCATCCAAACATGTTTCTGTAATGGAATCTTTCGTCTTTGCTCGTCTTTGTCAACTATGTCAAATATCCAGTGCACGGAAGCACGGGTTAAATCTACATTTCATTATTTTCATATATTCCAAATTAGCAAAAAAAAAAAAAAAAAAAATCCAGAATTAAGGTACATGGACTCAATGGGAATCGATGTATAACCTCGGCAGATGTCTTTTAAAATTTCCCCTCCGTATGGATATGCGGCCAAACATGTGAAATTTTGCAGATTAGAAGAAAGTCGCTTATATTTTAAGAGAAATTCCGCACTTGTCGGTACGTCGATCAATTGAGTTTTGCTAAGGGCCCGTGCATCGACGCAGTACATAGAAAACATCGCGTGTAATGTATTTACACAACAAACAATGGCCTGCGTCATGAGTCTTGTGTTCTCTTAATTTGGCTTTTAGATTTTAAAAGATATTTTATTACGTAATTGCTCTTAATTCACTTTTTATGATTATTATGTCAGATGTCACATTATAGGTTTCTAGGGTAAATTCTGGCGGCGACTTGGCTTTATCATTAATTGACAACACAATTTGCATATTTACTTTAGCTTAAGTCAAAATTTTATGTTAGTCTTTTTTTTTTCGTCTGGAGCTTTAAGGAAATAGTTTTCACATTCATTATAATTTGATATCAGTTTTGCATGTAAAACAGTAAAAAAAACAAAAAAAAAAGAAAAGAAAATAAAGAGGAGAAAACAGTAAGAAGAAAATTGATGTGTTAATTTTTCCTAGTGTGTTGTTGCTTGAACTGTGTGCAGATGCATGTGTTAGTAAAAATTGTCATCAATTGTATCCAATTTAAACTTGAAAAGAAATTTATTTTGAGTATAAGCATAAAATTCTGAATCTTATTCTTTTTGTAAATATATATGTAAGCAAAAGTTGAAGCTAAACTGCAATCAGTTTAAGGCGAATTTCTCGAATACTTATCGCCAGTGCATGGAAGAGAAGTTAAGAATCAACTTCAAGTACTCCACAGAGCAGTTTATAAAGATGCGCATCTGGCAATCTTACCTTTTCGTTTATATCGTTCCAGTTGACCTGCAACGTGCAAAATTTCTTATCTCCTTTTTCTATTCTCCTACACATCGAACATGTGCGCATTAACCAGGACACTTTGTTTATCAATTTTCTTAATTATAAATTGGAATTTACGCCCATCTGTAAGAATTCTTGGAATTTTTACGCCCATTGAACCTTGAAACTTGAACCTCAGTGAAGATACACAAATGTGTGGAACAACAATAACGCTTCTGCAGCTTAAGAGAATGCAAAAATATTTATCCTTCTGTGGTTACTATATATCATAGTGTTTAAGAGGGTCAGGTCATTACATTAGCATTGCCTACATTGCTACACACGTCCAGAAAGTAATTCGCCAAAATCGCTTCGAGCTAAAGCTATGAAATGCAATTTACTTGGGAACCAAAGACTCAGATTGCTTTTACTCCTGCATTTCGGTTCTTTTTGTATAGTAAATTTAGAGTTGCCCTTGTATAAACGAGCTTGTAGAATAAGCTTAACGAAAATGAGGTGAGTTATCATGTCCGAGGGCATATCGACTAATTACAAATGTGATTACAAGCAGATTGATAACGCCAATCGTGACAGATTTCATTCCGTTTTAAGAGAAGGAGAATTTCGTGTTTCTTTCTGATGTAATTCGACACCAGGACAGAAAGATCGAACGGACTAACCACGACCTTAGACTGTAAACACGAACGGTCCACTTATAATTGAATGAGGATAGATGGTGGAATTTTTTCTTTCGTTGTACCTAATATTGCAAGCATCACGTGACTCATAGTAGGCTTTGGACTAAACAAAGTGCATTAAGTCTCAATAAATAGTTCATAAGAATTCATAAGAATGTACTATTCGGGTTGGAGTTAAATAAACTGACATATTATGCTCTTGTTGGGCTATAGTAGAGAATTAATGTTAGAGTCTCTCTGCTAAGAGGACATATTTTCCGACACTAGATTTCCATTCGGCGCAACATTTCGCTCTAACGTAAGTGCTTAAGTCAGTGCTTAACGTATGCCCCATAGTGATTGTAATAAAATGCTATATACAAATATATAGCATACGATAGCCTATGAAGCAATTGCAGAGGTAATGGTGAATGGCAAGAACACTACGAATTAATTTCGGGTGAAAAACTACTTTTGGCAACGGTCTTTGGAAGTGCGTTTGTGCGTTTTCAATCTTGTGTATATACATGGACCGATTACAATAAACTAACGCGCTGCTACACTCTTCAGGTCAGTTAGATTCGTTTCGTTCTAATTTTGTCATTAATGACTAATGCAGCCTGTTGGCTTCTCTGGGAACAATTTCCGGCCATCGGGAATCAAAATCAACCACTCTGTTGGCACGTTTGCTACGAAAGTCATATTCGCATTAGGGTGAGTTTTTGATAACAACCGTTTCCAGCTAATACATAAAAATGGCGAAGGGTTTTCTTACTCTTAAGACTTCTTTATCCTGATAAGTTGCAGTCCAAGAATAAGCTTATTGTTGCATCGAGATTTTGCGATCCCGAAAAAAATATTACCTCTAGTTCTAAAGTTCGTTGTGAAGTGTAAGTTGCAGTTTTCCAGATATTATGTTCATAATTAGGGACGGACTGCTGCATCCACTTTAAACATAATTCGTTGCGATTAATCAAGAACATGTATAGCGAGATAAAACACATACGTAGGGACAAGCAGGCGAACAAAGTTAAGTCGACTTGTTATCTTATGCTTATCAACAATTACTATATACTTGATATGTGTACTTGATAAGGCTGACGCATAGCCAAATAGTTAAGAAGCGCAATTATCAAGCCGGGCATATGTAGGTATAATTCACCTTGCGGTAGACCTTACTTCAATTGCAATTGGTGTATGATCGTAGCTATAATATAACGTGAACGCATGGTGGATGAAAGCGTTGCAGTTACCAATCGAACATACACCACCCAACCGACGACATGCGCTGAATGATGAGCCATATAATAGAAAGAAAAAGTATGTCTTATATTATGCATGAGCTTTAGATTCCACATGCCTCTGCAGTGTTGAAATGTCTCGCAAACTTGTTTTGGAAATTGAAACAGAGAACTTTGTTAAGCTATGTTTATACAGATGCCGGTAGACAATGGCATTTGAATGGCAATGTATTGCATTGCAGAGAACTCGGCAAGAAGCAAATTTTGTGAAGAGATTTAAGAAACCGAAACTTTTACCTCTGCAGAACCAGCTAATAATTTACGACTTGACAAAGTTCAATCGGCCTCTTGGCTTTATGCATAGTAGTAAAGTTGAAGAAAGACTCGGCTATTTCTTATTATTATTCTTATTTTTCAATTTTTTTTTGCTTTACTTTAGATTTTTAAAAATTGGTAAGAGTAAAGGAAATAAAATTAGAAATATGGTGAAAAGTCCATAGGAACTTCAAAATTGAAAAACCGTATTCCTAAGATAAAGCTATGACTCTAAATCAAGGAAAATTTCGACCCACCATCAGTGCTATCGATGAGGTAGATGATCGAAATTTGAAGCTGGACGAAAATAAACAACAAATCGAAGGCAGCGAAACCGCGCCATTAACTACAAATCAACTTAAATTAAATATTGATGAAAATCTTTCGCGTAAAGATGGTTTGCAGAGACAAAATGCTTGCGGTGATAGCGAGCAGCAGGCAGAAACACCCACCTCTGGAGTAGGTGGTTCAATAAATGGTTTTCGAGGTAAATGATCAATCAAATAATATTTTTGATAAGCATTTCGCTCTTCATCGTTTATTACGACCGTTCATGCGCATTCATTGACTATTCGATTTTATCTTGTTTTGCCATCTTGATAGCTTTCCTACTTCCAGGACGAGCTTCTCTTGATGCTCTTATGCGCTTATCGCGTAAAAGACGTATTCTTTATATAACTACCGCCTGCTTGTGTGCCGTATTATTAGTGATCATCATACTGTTGATTGCGTTTTGGCCTGAAGTGCCGTTTTATCTCAGGGCTGAGTTGTGTTTAGAAAAGGAATGTGTTCAGGCCAGTCAGCAGTTGTTGTTATGGTCCAACAGCAGTAGAAATCCTTGCCATCAAACGTACGAATGGGCCTGCGGTAATTTTGCCCAAGATTATGCAGATAATGACTATTTTGTCATCAAGCGAGGAGAATGGGATTATAAGACTTATAATGAATTCAAAGGTGAGATGAAAGACTTTATTTAAAAAGCGCTAACAAAATGCATTTTAATTTTCATATTTCATATTTTGCTATCTCTTAGAACTAAACGAATTGAATCGTTTCATATCGATGCTGCCAACATCCGCTCCCTCATATTCAGTAGAATCGATGGTTAGTAGTTTATATCGTTCTTGTCGAGAAATCGATACACTAGACAAAAGCCAATCCGACTTGTTGGTGAGGAAAGCCATCAAATCAGTAGGTAAGTAATATTTTATAATAATAATAGAAAATGCATGAAAAGATCTCCTGCGAGACGGAATGGTTTACAGGTTTACAGGTTTAATAAAATTGTTGCATACGTTCACTTGAAATTTTTCATATTTTACAAAATATATATATATATATATAGAGCATAAGGATTATTATGGTAAGTTTCATTTCTCTTCTATCTATTTGTAAAAATTGCCATTGAATAAAGTTTATCCTGTAAAAACTGCTGGGGACTAAAAAAAGGCACATGTTCAACATACAATTGTCAACAGTTAGTTATTCCATTCAGAACACTGTAAAACAAACCCTATTCGCATACACATTAGAACACTATTAGAATACTATTGATGGATAATATTGCAATGCTTTCGATCGGCTCTTCTTGAACTACTTCTCCTACTACTAATCGACATCGAAAAGGCAATGTAGCAATCATGTCGTTCCGTATGTTCATTGTCCCCTCACTTATTGCCGAAACACACAAAGCAAAAAACTTGAGCTAGAATCTAGGAAGCGGAAGTAAAGTTACAAGAGAGGCAGGATTGGTGTATGAAAACATGTACACTTGCCGAAAATTTCGGAAAAGTGTTATTTGTCACCAACCTCCTCCCATGTACAACAAGAACAAAAACAAATCTATCAGAGGGGCTCCTTTTACACCCATCATTTTGCCGAAACTTTTGCGACGCGCGGAACGAATCTTCGGAGACCGCGCAAAGTACACATATATATATATATATATATATTCTTGATCTACATCAAATTCTTATTCAATTTAAACATGCTCGTCTGTTCGTCTGTACAACGTCTATTGTAAAAACTCTCCCGGCCGCAAAAATTTAATAATTTGGCAGAAACATTGGAAGGCCTTGTACGCAACTACGCCGATACTATACAATACGAAAATTGAATTGTTTTCCTCTTTTTAGTCTTAGTTTTTAGGATAACTGCGATGAGTAAGTATATAAGGTTCTGTGGCAAACGAATACAATTTTGTCGGTGCTAGAGCACCCCCTATAGAATATACTTTCAAAGTTTTGTAGACTTATCTGCCGCACTTTAAGCGTAATGAGCGAAAACGCAGTTTTGTATTTCTCTTGAAAAATAGAGTGGTAACCAGTTTATGTAGTGCCGTGGACGTGTCCTTAAACCGATTTGGCCCATTTTCAAGACAAACGATATCTTCATTTTGCGGCCAAGAGAATGTTTGCAACACGCATTACACAGACGGACACTTTTAAATCGATTCACAATTTCCAGCTGATCAAGAATATATCTACCCATCTTTCGATAATGGATGTATATATATATATATATATATACATATATATAATCGCTTCTTCTGGCATAGCTCTGACATTTTATTTTATATATTATAGATGAATACACTGAATGTATATTGGATTTCAATGGATTCATAATTAGCATAGAAGGGGAATATGTTTAATTTGCTATACCGTTTGCGATTCAACAGAAATATGATCCGAGGATAAATTTTGTAGTTTCATTTTTAGGTGTATATGTATTAAAATTTTCCAAAATGAGGGCATGGATTGGAAGCGAAGTTTATCGTAATGCAAATCATTTGAAAGGAAAAACTTGTCTAACGGCTTTCCTTTAAGTAAACGTGGCCCTGCAATAGCTGACAAGATGAAAATGCTCGATGACAGTCACATAATATGGATTCAATGTTAAAATCAAAATCAAAAATTCATAACATTTAGTAGGTGATGAGAATATAATTTAATTTCGCTCCGCACAACTTGTTGTTTTCGTCTGTCTGTCAGTCTGTACGATTTCTGTGGTAAATAATCTCCTGCTCGCAAAAATAAAGTTATCGGCTTGAAAGTCGGCGCAAACATTTGAAGTTCTTGCACACAAGTTGATATTGCAAATGGGAGAAATCAGTCAAAAGACAGGACCACAATTACAACATAATCTTAAGGCTACCTTTATTTTTAAAAGTAAAACTAACTTTAACGAGTTTTTTGCTTGCTACTTATAAACTACAACAAATACAACATTTATATTCCATGGGTTGTCTGTCCTGCAGCCCCTGCATAAAAACGAAAAGTATTTAAATTTTTACTTTTTTCACTTTCTTGACGTTTTCTTCTTATTACTTACTCATAAGGTCAACAAAACAGATAGTTCAAAATTATTGTGTACATTCATCGCATGAAGATATATATGCGTGCGTATGCGTGTAAAAATGTATCAATTGCAATGTAAATATGATGACATCCGCAACATGGAGTTTTCGTTTCTTCTTGACAGTATAGTCAATTTAGCATCCAACAAGAGGACTTGGGGACAAAAATACAATAAGCTAAGCGCGTTAATTCTAAATGAAAGACGGTGTACGACGATGGGTATAACAACAAGATTCGATCGCGGTCGAATGGGATTCTCTTACTTGTTATAATTAATTACCGGTGATATTGAAAATTGTAAAAAATTGTAATTTGCATAACAAGTTCCATTAACGCGATTTTGAAAGCAAGGAAACCAAACTGATTTATTAGGTTGTTGGTCAAAGCTATGAAGTTTACTTACGGCGGAATCCACTGTAAACAATCAATCATAAGTGTTTCAATGAAAAATCGTTAAAATTTTTTCAATACCATGAAAGTGTGCAGTTACAGCATTGATGCGTTGAGAACACTAAGTTGTCGACATCATCATTCGAATAATGCTCCGAAAAATTTTCAAATCTATCCCAGTTTAACTATTAAATTTTGTTTATTTTTGATTTTCAAAATTAAAAAAAATTGAGAAAAGATTCTTTCAATTTGTTAAGTCTCGAACCTTGGACACGAATGAGATTTATTAAGATGAAAAGGTACTTTCGTTATGAAACGTGCAGATCTCGTCAACTTTCTTGTAACGACGGTGAGTTATCTAAATATTGTCGATCAATCTTATTTATGATTTTCCCCAATAATTTACGATCTCCAACTCTTAGCGGAATTAGATAAGTTACTTTGCGCTGAAGTATTCGGAACTGAGATGTAAGATATCGTATATACTAGTATTTGCTCAAATTTGTTGTCTCCGTTTTCGAAATTGATTTCTAATTATATATATCACTGAAAAATCGTGCTGCACTGGATTTACCTTTTATATATATATATATATATATATTGATTTGAGTGACCTTTATAGTTATAGATTTTTTGTTTTTCATTCCGTGGTTTTTTACTTAACTAACAGTTTAAATAATGCAGGCAGATGACAAATCTTTAAATAAATTAAAAAATAGATATAAGTTGAAGAAATATCAAGAAATTGTGATATATATATAAAGTTTTGAAATCATATATAAATCAAAAATCATAATAAATAAATTTAAAAAACATTATATTAATTAAAAGAGAAAAAAATTAAAATCTTATCAACGAGCATAAGCAAGCAAAAAAGTATATTTGATAAAGTGTAAACGCAATGCGAAACTTATTATCAATCGAATGTGCATACATTCACTTAAATATAAATTGAGAAACTGTCAGTCATTTTCAATATCGGAAATTACGCGAGATTAAGTGCGCTAACAACTTAATTATAAATTATTATTTTATAATTTTTAATTATGCCTACACACCTACACCTACACACACAAACATATATATTTATATATATATATATATATGTATGTATGTACACCTACACATTTATACGTACATCAACGGTATTAGCGGACAAGTGGTTAGATTTGCGGTTAAACTAATATTTAATATTTAACTTTTTTTCTAATTTACCGGTTTTTTTTTTTCTTTTTTTTTTGGATCTGCGGTTGAGATATAAATTTTTATACATCCAGATACATCGAAAACAACCGTATACTAATTTGATTATGCCGTTTGTAACATTGAGAAATATACGCTAGTGATCTGAAAGGAGTGCGATCTGACCTTCATGTCTATTTGATGTCGATTTGTTGTTTGACTTGAATTTTGAAACCGATTATGAGTGTGCGCGCGCTTGCCTGTATGCAAGATTCAAATCTTCAGGTCAAATCCCCTCAAATGGCTGCATGGAATAGATAGAGTACGGTTTCAAGTTTGACCTAAGCATGATCTCAACAAAACTATTTTGTTTTTAGAACAACAAAGGTTGATCTTGAATTTCTGCTTTCTACACCAATAGAGCATATTAATATAAGAGGCTGCACAAAATGTATACATTCTTGATTGGCATGAAGGAAGGAATCGAAATGCCTACACTTTGCCACACAAATGGCCGCAAATTCAAATCTTGTAGACGTGTACGGACATCCTATGCTTGCGCGCATTTCGAATGAACAAGGTTATTCTACGGCCTTGGTTCAGCAAGCCAAGTATGTGTCAATGTTATAAAAAAGGTTTTTACGTTTACATAGAATATCAGGCTTACAAAATATCCAAAACAATTTAAACAAAATAAGTTAAGCGATGGGCTTCAGACAATTCGGTTCAAATCAAATACAATTTTTTTCTCATTCCTTCTTTTACAAGGCAATGATTTACGCGACATTTATATTTTGGATAAAAATTTTTTTTCGTAGAAAAATATTCACATGCATACATAATCATATATACACACATATATATATATATATATATATATATATATTTTAAATGACTAAAGGAATACCGAAACAACGCGCAGTGCTATTGCATGATCAATAATTTTAACGTTTTTTTTATTAATATCACTAAAAATAGTTTTGAATGTAACAGAAATACAAAAACACACGCACAACATGTGCATTAATAACCTTGTTTGATATTAAAGTGAAAAACTAGCTCTTTGTTGGTTTTTCTCTTCCATCAAAAGTCAATCAAATACATTAATTATGTTAATTAGTTGACGTAAATTGATTTGGTTTTATTTGTTATTATCGCTGTTTATATGGTTTGGCGGCTGTTGTAACACAAGACGTTTCAGATTTCATATTGTTTTTATGCAGTCATCATCGAAGCGTGTATTAATATTGTCGTTCTGTAAGCA